AGCATTAGTGGTGACAAGAAGTGTAACATTGTGCATTCCAGAAAGATGTGCATTGGATGGTGCGATGAGGAGATATGAAATTACTTCAATTAATGTACTAGTCTAGAACAGTATTATTGTGAGCAGTATTAGAGTCATACTCTGGTGTTAAAATACACACACATTCGATGATTCATGTACACTTGATTCTCATAGTAATATGCCTGAGTCTCATAGTGATTGGCTAATAATCTTTACTATGTATTGCTTGACCTTTCCTGTGCCACTTGCAGCCTTCCAGATTTTCCGTACCTTCAGGTTGCAAGTTTCAACAATAATAACATCACCGACACCGAGGGAATCAGTCTTCCTCTACTGGAGTACCTTAGCTTATCTTGTAAGCAGTGCCTGCCACTCAGGGCAACCGGTGACTGTGTAATCGCACTAGCGAGTATAAGTTATAACATATTATGTACTAACTTGCATTCTTCTGTCATAAGTCTCCAAACAAGTCTAGGCAGTGATTGGAAGGGGTCGTGTTTTTCATGTTATATTTGATGTTCGGGCGCTAGCAATTTTTGTTCATAACAAACACCATTTTAATAGCAGATTGGGCAGTAAGAAGTGTGTTCTTTAGCCTTTGATTTGCTGCTATAGCTGATTTAACCATTTTTCAGACAATAAGATCAATAGAGTTACTGGCTTGAACGCTTCAGTTCTATCCAACCTACACACATTAGAGCTGAGAGGGAATGGACTAACAAATACAGATGGGCTGGCAATCCCAACACTTAAGAACCTGTTTCTGGTAAAATATACATCGCACTGATGTGTACACGTAATATATAAAGCACGTATGGATAATTACACGTTATACAATAATTATTTCTTTACTGCATACTATAAAATGTTGAGGTCCACAAAGGTTCATCTATTTACATGCTATTTAGATTTCGTGGTTTATAATCGCTACATACAGATTTTTGCTGTTAAAAATAACAAGCAACTAAATACCTGTCTTAAAAAAGCATCAGCGTTTTGGTGCTGTCAGTATTTGCATGTGCTGTCTCTCTTGGGATTGGTAGTTGACTTAAGTTGTCTCTTGAAAGCTAATATGTGCATGGTTTAGAGCAGAGTTTGTAATAAAAGTGATAGTAATTGGATCCCTACCTAGTATAGTATTTAACTGTTAAAATGCTTAAGTGAAAATAATGATCCAAGTCTATTAGTGTTATTTAGCTAAGTCCTATCACACGTGAGACAGTTTCTCTTATGCAGGCAGAAAATTTCATAACAGAAATAACAGGATTGGAGGTGTTAACACACCTAACAACTTTGCACCTACGAGACAACCTCGTTCAATCCTTGAGTGGATATAGTGCAAACATGAAATCACTGCAGTATGTCAATCTGAGGTAAGACTGAGAATCAGTGCTGATTATCTCTGTCCCATATAAGTCCCCTGACAAATTACCATGCCACCTCTATTTGACAAATATATTAACACAGACCTGATTTGTGAATAAAGGTCTGCTTACATTTTATTTCCAGAAACAACAAAGTGTCCGACTTGATGGAAGTCGATAAACTGAGTTGTCTACCTAGGATCCGAGCATTGATACTGTCAGGTGAGGTGATAGCATATAACACATAATTTCACGTACATGTTGCTCTTCAGTAAATTACACAAAACTCGCTTCAGTAACGTTTGCGAAGGGTAACAGATTCTACTATGCAGGTAACAACCTGCATTATAGAACTGGTAACTATAGTTACCACTAGTACACGAACCATTCTGTAATGCAGTATATAATAATTGGACACACGTGAATATGTATAAAGATAGTGAATAGACCCGTTGTAGACCTGAACCCATGTACAGCAGGTGCGTAGCCAGCCTTTCCAAGAGGGGGGATTCCTTCCAAGAGGGGGGATTCCTTCCAAGAGGGGGGATTCCTTTTAAGAGGGGGGATTCCTTTCAAGAGAGGGGATTCCTTCCAAGAGGGGGGATTCCTTCCAAGAGGGGGGATTTCTTCCAAGAGGGGGGATTCCCTCCAAGAGGGAGGATTCCTTCCAAGAGGGGAGATTCCTTCCAAGAGGGGGGATTCCTTCCAAGAATGGGGATTCCTTCCAAGAGGGGAGATTCCTTCCAAGAGGGGACCCCCACGCAACCCATTGGCTCCTTAGTCGATCACAGCTACGGACTGGCACCGCCCACCGCGCTACCCTACGCGGTTACACCACCTGCCCCCTACCACTCACACCGAACCCACTCGGTGACTAAACATCAAGCCCTGAGTAGTTATATGTAAACAGACAGCTGGGTTAGACTGGTGGGTGAGAAAACTGAAGGGGGAAGTGTCCCCCTTCCACCCGGAAGTGACGTGCAGCGAGGAGATGCGGGTATACGGACATAAAGCCATCATTGTGTTACTGCTTTACACACGGGGTCGACACTAACACTAATGCTACCCCTATATCGACACTATCGGCAGCTAACCCCCCCCCCCCCCCCTTGCACTCCTCCTTCCTAACCCTAACTCGCACCCACACGGTATAAATCATTATTTCATGTCCTAAGGCCCTGGGGCCCGTTGTCAGAAACTTCGTAAAGTTACGATTAATTTTAAGACTAATGTTAATGTTAAGAGAAAAATTAATAGCGTTGACAGAAACCTATCGTTTATCGTTATAACTAAACTTACTAAAGTGAAAACTTACGATAACAGGAACTTCATCACAAGGCTGCTGATTGGATGAGAATCGATAACAAAATTCAAATTCATACACATTTATTGTACATCACAGTAATTTATGCATATTATGATGGCTAACCACATATAAATAATATTTGATGAAAAACGACACGGTCTTGAATTTATTCTGCACAACAAGAGACAATTCTCACACTGTAACACGAGACGCGAGAATAGTGTGGTCAGTGCAAAGGTATTTAAAACAAGAGAACAAATGCCATACGCCATTTGTAAATGTTTTGACATTTTAGTTTTGCTTCATGATCGGTAGATAATTAATGTTTTTGACGTGTTTTTCAAGAAAAACACATGATATTACTCATTAATATAAAATATAATATCACTATAATTGTAATTCTTAGTCTAAATGTGTTATTTTCATCTTAATATTAAAGTTAAGGGAGGGTCTAGGATCTCTTAAGTTAAAAGAAAAGTTACGAGAATTTTTAATTCTCTTAACTTTACGAAGTTTCTGTCAACGCTCTAAGAGAAAAAGTTAATGTTAAGGTTAATGTTAAGACTAATTTGTTTCTGACAACGGGCCCCTGAGCCTCACATCTCTCCTCCACTATCCAGACTCCACAAGAACCCTCCTCACATCGACCCCTAAACTGTCCACACTAACTACCCCGCAATCACGACACGTCACTATCTATTCACACACGATCCGCGCACGCACGCACACACACGCACGCACGCACGCACGCACGTCTACGTATGATATGAAAGCAATGAACGAAAATTGTAACGAGAATTTTATTAGTATATAGTAGCGTTTGACAATCCCGCCATCTTGAAAGGAATCCCCCCTCCTTAAAAAGGATATCCCCCCTCCTGAAGGATCCTCGCCTCTTGGAAGGAAATCCCCCCCTCTTGGAAGGAATCCCTCCTCTTGAAGGGAATCCCGACCCTCTTGAAGGAATCCTCGCCTCTTTGGAAGGATTCCCCGCCTCTTGGAAAAATCCCCCGCTCTGGAAGGAATCCTCCCTGCTTGAAAGGAATCCCCCTCTGGAACAAACTTCCTCTTGAAGGAAATTCCCCTCTTGAAGGAATCCGCGCCCCTCTTAGGAAGAATTTCCCCTCTCTGAAGAATCCCCCCTCTTGAAGGAATCGGCCACCTCTTAGAAGTAACCCACCTCTTGGAAGGAATCCCGCCTTCTGAAAGGAATTCTTCCCCCTCTTGAAGGAATTCCCCTCCTCTTGGAAGGAATCCCGCGCCTACTGGAAAGGAATCCCCCCTCTTTGAGAAGAATCTCCCTCCCCTTAAAGGAATCCCCCCTCTTGAAGAATCCCTCCTCTTGAAGGAATCCTCCTCTTGGAAAGAATCCCCCCTGAAGAATCCGCCCCTCTTTTGAAGGAATCCTCCCTCGTTGGAAGGAATCCCCCTCTTGGAAGGAAAATCCTCCCCTCTGGAAGGAATCCCCCTCTTGGAAGGAATCCGCCCCCTGAGAAGGCTGGCGTACGCACCTGCA